TGGTAGTTGTTAAGTTTAGTTATTGGGTAGGACTATTAAAAATAAGTAAATAGGATTTTGACGCAAAAGTCATAATTAACAGTTAGTTAATAGTGAAAATTGGCCCCTAATCTAAAGTGTGACAATAAAATATAATACAAATAATAAAATATATTATTATTATTTTATATTTATAACTATTTTATTAATAAATGCAACAAAGCCAGATCAATCCTATTTTAAATAAGAAAAGAATCACTCTGGTGATGTTATAACTGTCGCTTGCTAACAGTGTAGAATAAAGGATAAGCTTCACTGATTTATTACATACAAAATCACTATTAAACTGTTATACAGGGTTCCTACAGGTTTCTTCAAGTTAAATTCAAGTCTTTTGAAGACCTTTTTAAGACCATTTATATAAAAAATGAATACCTATTTCACGTCCCTACCAGCAAAGAAAAACAAATTCCTTCAACTTGTGTTCATTTATTTTTCAAATGTGGAATGGGTAAAAGATGATAAGCCAAGCAGGTGTGAAAAATAAAAACATTTCAGTAGGCCACAAGAAAGTTTGCCGAACAATGTTAAGTTGTGTTTTAACTAGGGATGCACCGATCCGATATTTGTATCGGGTATCGGGGTCGATACTGCCATTTTTGCCGGATCGGGTATCGTTCAGACGAGGCCGATCCAAATCCGATATTGTGCGTATATATTCTGTGTTATTGTTAAGCCCAACAAAAGGCACAAAAACATTATAAAGCACCATAAAGTTTTCGTGCACTATATTATAAGTGTTCTGAAGCCATTATATATTATAATGTGAGATAGACATGAATATTTAAGTCATTAAATTCAAGATCACGTAAACTTTTCCATCCGTCAATCTGTCAATCATTCTTCATTCAGCATTCAAACAGCGCGTCGCGTTCGGTTACTAGTACAGTCAACACGAGAACAAGATGATTCAATGTTACTATTATTATACTTGATCTGTAGATAAAGGTCAATGGTTTCGCATAAAACAATTTTATCTTGCTGGACTTTATTGCTGTAACTTAAAGGAGAACTCCGGCGCAAAATGAACCTTTGGTCTAATTACACATTGTTACCTAGTCAACCGTTATCTGAGATTTGTTTTCATGATTATCGAATGTAAATAGTTTTATCTCTACAAACAGTTTAGCCTATAAAGCTAGTATAACGCTAGTATATTGGGCATAGTGTAATGACAAATAAAAATCGCTTGTTAATACCACTAACAAGGCTGAAAATAGACCCACACTAACACGGTAGCATAATGAGGGTCCCTACCTTCAAACCGAAGCATTGAGAACTTTGTAAGTGTACAGACAGTTTAATAAGAAGATATTTTAAACATACAGTCAACTTCGCGTATACAGGCAGAATCCATCTTTGAAATACAGCCATTACCAGTCGATCTACGAACGCCGATCCAAGCCTGCTGTTCGCGCTCACCTTATCACAACTTATAGCTCGTTCACATCTCACCAGCGCACTTGGATCGGCGTTCGTAGATCGACTGGTAAAGGCTGTATTTCAAAGATGGATTCTGCCTGTATACGCGAAGTTGACTGTATGTTTAAAATATCTTCTTATTAAACTGTCTGTACACTTACAAAGTTCTCAATGCTTCGGTTTGAAGGTAGGGACCCTCATTATGCTACCGTGTTAGTGTGGGTCTATTTTCAGCCTTGTTAGTGGTATTAACAAGCGATTTTTATTTGTCATTACACTATGCCCAATATACTAGCGTTATACTAGCTTTATAGGCTAAACTGTTTTTAGAGATAAAACTATTTACATTCGATAATCATGAAAACAAATCTCAGATAACGGTTGACTAGGTAACAATGTGTAATTAGACCAAAGGTTCATTTCGCGCCGGAGTTCTCCTTTAATCATGTTACTTTCTACCGGGTCAGGTGTCTCTTAGATCACAACAATGGAGTGTACAGTAGAGCACTATAATTGTTCTTCACGCGCACAGTAGGCTAACTGAAATTTAAAACTATTAAAAGAAAAGGCTCAATAAACGATTGCATAGATAGATACTGTATAATACACTACGCATCAATATGTATTTCCTTTGTGCTTTGAACTTTTCAATGCGGACTCGACGCGCGCTGTGACTCATGTTGCTTCAAGCGCATCATTCTGCGCTCGGGATGCGCATAAGCGCTGTGTGCCGCAATGTATTGGAGCCTTTCATATCATAATACAGTGACGCAATGAAAGATTATTAATAGCCTTTCTTGTTCTGTCCTATCTATCATATGTTCCTGCCTCATTAAACAGCTGTGCTATACATTTAAAACATGTCTCAATTTTAGGCTATATATAAAATAATTTATCTTTTTGATTTTTGTTATCTTGTTTTTCATGAATATATTTTACAACAATACAAAGAGCAATGGTAACGTTTTACCAGATTTAGTGTTACACTTATTGTCTCTTATTTGTTCCCCACTAAATGTTTTTTTCACTAAATGTTCAGATTTTATACAAGTATACTGTGCACTCTATATTTTTATAGATTACATTTTACTGCTGAATTATCCACTAATCTAGTTTATAATAGCATTTTTGTCATAGATTATGATCATATATTTTGATTTGTTTTTCTTTATAATGAAGTTGTCTATATTAAGTAGATTGTGTTTAATACACAAAAGAGTAATTATCAGTTCAACACACAGAGTTATAAAAACTCTACTTGATTAAAAAAAAACTGCGCTGGTATCGGATCGGTATCGGGGATCGGTCGATACTCAGAATTTTTGGTATCGGATCGGATCGATTCTGAAAAAAGTGGTATCGGTGCATCCCTAGTTTTAACATTAGCTAGCTACTTATTCCATGCTGGGAATATGGGGAACTGAGAGACCCCTGAACAATAAACATCGAAAATCATAATAATCGTGGTTGACAAATGAAACTTTTGAGGAAAAATACAATACGGAGAAGTTACATACAGCAGTGTTAATTTTGACGGCAAATTTTGATTTAGTTTTAGTCTCAGTCTTTTGACTAAAAATATGACTAAAACTAATTTTAGTCATATTTTAGTCATCTGAATTGTTTTAGTTTTAGTCTAGTTTTAGTTGACGAAATACAATGAGATTTTAGTGATTTTTGATTTATTTTTTTTAGATTTTCTAAATCTACTGTAAACTAAATCTACAGTAGATTTAGTCGACTAAAATATAATGGTTTTAGGTAAATTGTAATGCGTTAATTTAGAATTTCTCTAAAATTTCCAAACCCATATACACAGAGGTGTAGTGGTAAAAAAAGAGGTGGGTAAACTATAAATTCTGGTGGACCACGACGTGGTCACCCCGTAAGGTGGGCCACTGCCTACCGGTGTATGTGTATCTCCTGATGACATTGCTATATAGGTAGGGCTCGACATTAAGCCTTTTCATACGCTTAATCTGTCATCCACTTGTCCGAGTAAAAAAGTTTCTCGTCCGGATTTTTTTTATTATTTTTTTTATTCTGAAACAATATTCTCATCAGTGTTCAATCAGCTTTGATATTTAAATCGGCATATTGTAATATCTGCACCTTTAAAGGGCATCCCCTCCCCCAATCTTATTAAATGTATGCTTCATCTTTCATTTTAAATTCCTAAATTTGATCAATAAATTAGATTATTTCGAATAATAAGACACTATAGGGCTGATCAAATTAAATCATTTACACTGAAAAATTCCAATTGCATAAAATAATGTTATGAAATTGATTTAAATTTACAAAATAAGAAACGTTGGAAAGAATGATCTACTTTTAAACATAACACGAAACCGCCAGTAGGTGGCGGCAGGCGACCGTCTTAATGAGTGAGTCATTGAATCATTCAAACGATTTGTTCAAACGGCTGATTCATTCAAGAATGAGACAGATGTTTATGAATGGGTCATTGAATCTTTGACTCAATCAATTCGTTCAAAATGCTGAATTATTCAGTAATGAAAACAGGTCGAGTGTTCCTGTGAGATGCGCCGTGGTTCTGCTGTGATTTTTGTTTGGAACTATTTTCGCTGCTGAAACAGAACAAAAACAGCCAATATTGCATCTAAAATGTAAGTGACTTAATTTTAACTGTTTATTGAACTGTTGTAGGGAAATAAATGTCACATTTTCAATCGTGATGGTGTTCAGGAAAAATAATTGAGGTTGCTTAACATATGTTAAAAATATAAAAACTCCACATTTAGATTTTTTATAGGCAGTATCTTGTTAACTGAGTGTGTGTGAGCGCTCATTTGTGTAGATTTCTCCTCGAGAGGCTGCGCGAGCGTAAACAGCGCAACCGTCAGTAAAAGTCAACAACACTGACAGTAGCCTAATGCAGGCAATATGAAAGAGTTCGTCTTAGGTTTAACAACCTATGAAACTAATAATGAACAATATGAAACTAAAACGACATAAGCTTAATTTATAGCCAGGGATGTATAGCTATTTAGAGGTGGATAAACGCAATTTAGAGGTGGATAAACGCACCTTGGAGGTGGGTAAACGCTATTTCCGAATATTGGGAGGTGCGTAAACGGCGTTTACGTGCGTTTAGCCTCCACTACATCCCTGCATATACACTCCCGGAGAAAACATATATTAACCTATTAATATGAATGGTTTTTAAGTTTGAACATGCAATACAGATACAGATTTAACTACTGTGACTTAAAAAAAATATCTTAAAATTAAATAAAACCACTTTTCCTAAAGTAAAACAGTCTTCTTTTCAATTAATGATATATGCATTCTTTATAACAACTTACATACATCATCCTTTATTCTTTCAAGTAAACAATTATTTGTATGAATTAAATATAATTAATCCTTATTAAAGCTATTAACAAACAGTGAATGCTTTTCTCTTTTTATTTTGTTGCTTGATCAAAATTAATGACACAGACCGCATTATGTTTATTGCCACTGTCACTTTAAGACATCGGCCAATGGGACTTTGGACTTTAAGACATGTCCAATTACATGCGGATACGATTGCACTGATGCACACCCGATACAACTGTTTAACATAACCGACATAGTTTACATGAATACTGTCCAAACCGGACATTTAGACATAATGTTGTGTGTATTTGTCCATTCAGACACGAAAGAGAGCTCATCAGTTCAGTACTCGCGCGCTGTATGGTGTCTATGTGCACGGCTGCACGCTTCGGGTTGGTGCGTGGTTGGTTTACATTTGATTTTTAACATTTTATGAGACCGCGGGGTAGATCAGCACGTTACTGTACAAATGTGTGCATCTAGCACACACGCAGGACATCAGTTCTGACTGGATCGCTTCAAAGATCGACACTATCTAACATTTTCATCTAGTTTTTATTCGTTGACGAAAATGTCAACGATTGAAAAAGTCAATGATGTTCGTCATAGTTTTTGTCATTCAAAACTAGGTTTTATTTAGGTAGCGTCTCGTTTTCGTCAGTGAAGAATGTCGTTGAAGAAAAGTTTTCGTCATTATATTCGTCAATGAAATACACTGACATACAGCACAATTTTTAAGACCCAGACATCAAAATGTAAGACTTTTTAAAGACTTTTTAAGGTATTATTTCCAAATTCATAAATTCAATGCTTTTAAGGCTTTTTAAGACCCCGCGGGAACCCTGTTATATTATACTATTGTACCTGCACTACTGTAAGACAGATGACAAATGGGAGTGTAAGACACATGATTATTGAAACAGAACTAAGTTTAATCATCTCCCTCATCCTCTTAACTTTTCCATGCCAATTCTCAGCTGATCTTGCACATGGAAATGCATTGTGCATACCGGGATCCAAACATCTGAGCCTTTCACAGATCTCCAAGTGCAACTGCACGCTCTACTGAACTTAGAGAATAGGCAGCAAGCTTGTCAATTGCAAAGGTCTTTTCTCAATGCTCCCCACAAAACAACCTCAACAGCAGGTAATTATGATGCTCCAGTGGAGAACTAATGTAATGATCAACCTGATCCATTTCAGCTCTATATTATCCTTGTATTTCCATAAACAGCTTAGTAATTCTTACTATTATTCTTATCAAAGTTCTTCAATGACAAGCAGGATAATCCCCACCCAGCTGATTTATGATTAAACCATTATGTGTTTGCAGCTGTGGTTTTGCAAGTTGAGCTTGTCTAAAAAATACATGGGCCATTTTGAAGTTGTGTAAAGACATTAATTCTAGATCCAAAAAGCTAGCCAGGCAGAATTTAGAACACAATATAACCGCTGGTGAACATTAAGTTCCCATTATTCTTTTAAGATATACTGCACAATCCTAAAACACAGAAGATAACTCTGCACCCTTACCTTTTGACGGATCTCCTCCTCCATCTTGACCGGTGAGCCCAGTTCAGCGACCTGTTTGACCCCATCACTGGCATAACCTCCATACTCCCACAATATATAGTTCTTCGAATGGGAAGCTCCAATGAGGGCCGACCAGTGATTGGCTCTCCCTGTTAAGATACAAAAGTCCAAATGTCTTAGAATAATGCATAATAAAAGGCATAGTTCACCCAAAAAATTTAATTCTGTCATTAATAACTCACCCTCTTGTCGTTCCAAACCCGTAAGACTTTCATTCATCTTCTGAACACGAATGAATATCTTTTTGATGAAATCTGAGAGCTTTCTGCCCCTCCATTGACAGATACACAACTACCACTTTGATGCTTTAAAATGTTCATAAAGAGATCGTAAAACTAATCCGAATTGAGTGGTTTAGTCAAAATTTGATGAAAGAATGGTTACGGGTTTGGAACGACATACGGGTGAGAAATTAATGACAGATTTTTAATTTTGGGTGAACCAACCCTTTAACCCTCTGGGGTTGTTCGGCCCAAATGGACCCGAATCATTCAAATAAAAAAATGTTAAAAATCACAGCTTCTTCGGAATGGTCCGAAATTTGGTGACTTTGTTGGTATTTGGTATGTGAACACCCAAAAAAATTGGGGACAGGATGTGAACAGTCTAAGTGGTTGTAAAAAAAATAGTCACACTCAGGACCTTCGGGTCCAAATGGACCCCCATGGGAAATTGGCAAAAATGTGAAAAAACAGAGTTTTTTGGGGCGTACAATCTACAAATCAGCCACAATCCATAAAAAAAGCACACAACAGTGAAGGGGAGAATCTATAAAACATCAAGAGTGCAAAACAGACACATCCACACACACACACAAACACACACACACTTTTATACACATACACACTCATAAATTCAGATTACTGTACATAAATCTGTTTTGAATTTTTAAAAATCACAGCTTAATCGGAATGTTACGAAACTAGGTGACTTTTATGGTATTAGGTATGTGAACACACAAAACAAATGGGGACAGGATCTGAATAGTCTAAGTGGTTGTAAAAAAAATAGTCAAACTCAGGACCTTCGGGTTCAAATGGACCCCCATAGGAAATGAATGTGAAATTGTCAAAAATATGAAAACACAGATTATTCAATATGAAAACACAGACTATTCAAATAGAATAGTCTATTTGAATAGTCTAAGTGGTTGTAAAAAAAATAAAAAAAAATACTCACACTTAGGACCTTCGGGTCCAAATGACCTAACCTGACTCCGCCAGATGGATTTGCTCCGCATATCCATCTGGAAACCTTCCGTTGAAGTAGTTTTGGTAAGGGGCGAAAATACTGGTTAGCTGATTGGCCTATGTTGGTGATAGACGGGCCAAATCAACCAATCAGATCAACGAAGCATATGACGTACTAACAGAGCGTATCTTTTCCTCTGAGAAAAGCCTCCAGAGCAGTGTTTTGCTCTTCTTTCAGTGAAGAAATACTCTGTAATTCCGATAAAACTTGCTCGATAGCCACGCTGATGCTAGTTTCATCCGATGAAGCCGACATGTTCTTTAGACTGAACTGTCGCGCTTCTCGTTGCGTCACACCTCAACCCGCCTCAAAGCCAACGCTGATTGGACGTTCGTTTGGTGAACTGCTCCCAAATTTTCTTTAACGGAAAGTATCCAGACTGATCTGCGAGTGAAACCTTGAAAGCTCGCGAGATCAGGATGGTCTCACGAGGCTACAAATGACCCCCATTGGAAATGAATGGGAAATTGTCAAAAATATGAAAACAGTTTTTTTGTGCATACAATATACAAATCAGCCAGAATGCAGAAAAATGACTCAACGGTGAAGGGGTGAATTTCTAAAACATCAAGAGTGCAAAACAGACACACACACACACACACACACACACACACTGTATTATATATTTATAATAATCTGTATTATAAAGTAAAACTGGCACTTCAAATTACCATTTAAACCAACCAAAGAAACAAAAAACAAGACAAAAATAGTCTTTGAGAATCTGTTATTATATTTTAAAAATCAACAACCTGAAAAAAAATTGGTATATATTTGCAAAAATCACTAGAATCCCCAAGCCTTTCTACAGAGAGCTGTAAATCCACTAGTGGTAAAAATGTGCTATTGCGTGATAAAAATGCTCAGTGTGTCCACCAGATGGCATCTATATTTTTTTAAAAATTGCTTTCATGAGGCCTAGGCTTCACTCTAAAATGTAATACAGCTTTGATAAAAAAAAATTTAAAAAAAAAAAAAAAAAAAAAAATTCTATTATGTTCAATGGGAAAAAATGGGTCATAATTATTGCATAAATATTAATTATAAATCATAAAATATCTCAAAACACCAAAAAAGAAAAGAAAAAAAATTATAGAAAACAAGTTAAAAAAAAAATTATGATTTTCTTTTTTAAAATATGAATCCTGCCCTTTGGGTCCATTTGGACCCGAACACCCCAAGTGTGACTGTTAAACGAACAACCCCAGAGGGTTAAATAATTACTTACTAAAACCAATTACCTTGTTTTTCTGATCATTAGTTTATTATACACATGCATTTATGTGTTTCCCAGATGGTTTTATGCATAGCACATTGAGGATACACATGAGTACATTTATTGTTGTGTTCCCTGGGAACCAAACCTTTGGCATAGTTTGTGCTAAATTGAACATGTGTACTGGATAATGTACAGTCGACCACTCATTATGACAAAATAAAACTGACACAGTGATCATGTAACATTTCAGGACAAGATGACAGAAGGGGAAACCAGGGAAGTGATAACGGTGGAGGGAGCCGAGGAGGGGGACAAGTCGAGGGAGGGCCATGCTGGAAACTTGGCAGGCAGACCCAAGGGGATGACAGGTTGAGACGGAGCCGATGCAGGTGGAGATCCAGGAGGAGCCGAAGAGCCGATGAGACCAAAAACGACGGGCATCCGAGGTTGAGCCAGGGCACCAGAGGACTGAGGCGAAGCCAGTGGGACTGGCAACCAAGGTAGGGTCAGAAAGAAGGCTGAGCCCAACAGAGCAGAAGAGACGGAGGCCCAGAAGTCCATGGTGCAGGCAGTGGGTCGACTGACCAAGGTGGAGCTGTAAGGTTGATGGCCCCATGTGAAGCCAAGGGAGGGAGAAGCCAAGGTGGAGCTGACTGATCGACAAGCTGAGATGGAGTGATGGGCTCAGAGGCTGGAGGTGGAGTCAGGTGATCCCCTTGCCAAGTCGGAGCTGGAGATGGGAAGACCCGAGGCAGATCCACGCAGCAGAGTGGAGTCAACAGAGGGGGGGCCAAGGAACTGAAGGGAGCCTGTGGAGGCGAGGACAAAGGACTGGCTGTCTTTGGTAGAGGAGGTGGGAGATGAAGGCTAGGGTGAATAATAACAACATGAGGGTGAATAATTACTGGCAGAATTTTCATTTCTGGGTGAACTAACCCTTTAATAAAATAAAAGGCCACTTAAAGAGTACTTCAAGAGTATACTTTTTTTAATGTTTCTTAACACACTTAAAGGGTGCTCTCGTGAACGCACGTCGGAGACTGATACGGAAGAGTATAAATTGTTAAATAAAGTCCTGTTTTGGCGCACAAAACGTATTCTCGTCGCTACACAAAATTAAGGTTGAACCACTGTAGTCACATGGACTATTTTAATGATTGTTTAATGTTTAATGAATGAAACAATGTGCTATTTGACATTACTGAGTATAGCCTATCCCTCACACACACCCAGAGAGTGCATGCATACTCTGTGATGTAGTCTTGTAGATTAGACTAGTGCGGGTGCCCATTTAGAGTGCACGCTTTCACTGCGTGATTTAGTCTTTATTTATATCATTTAGTAATAAATATCACAAGAGTGCAGTTTTTCTCCAAATATCAGCATGATAACAAATGTGATATTGATTTTATACAAGTTTAATAAAAAGAAGTTAGTATTAAGTGACTTACATTTTAGACACCATATTACCTGTTTTTGCTCTATTTCACCAACGAAAATAGTTCAAAACAATGCCACACACGGCGGTGTTTCCTTACTAAATGAATCAGCTTTTTTACTGAATCAGTTGACTAGGATAGATTAAGATAGTCAAATGTTTCTTTCCTTGAATTTGAATGAATTTGAATGAATCAACAACTGCATTGATTTGGACTTCAACATGTTGGCTGCAATTGAAGTCCGTTGTGTGGAGAAAAATCCTGAAATGTTTTCCTCAAAAAACTTAATTTCTTTTCCACTGAAGAAAGAAAGACATGAACATCTTAGATGGCATTGGGGTGAGTAAACTATCAGGAAATTTTCATTTTGAGGTGAACTAATCCTTTAAGTTCAACTAATTGTATTTAAATTAATTAAATTAAATAAATAAAAATTAAATAGTTGCAATAAACATTGAATTAAGTGTCAAAAAACATTGCATTCAGTTCACATTTAACTATATTCTTTAAAAAGGCATTTTATTTATGTAATAATTATTTTTATAACTATGCTAAAATGTACTTTTTCACAAGGGTTGCATTTGAAGACAGTCAGATTAAAATATCCTGTTTCTATACATATCCTAATGTAGCACTTGGCAATAATAAAACATTCCAGTGCAATGCAATAAATTTTGAATCTGGCATGCATCATTTCCCAGTTTGTTCCCTTCTCTTCTCCTCATAATCTCATATACTATCTCCACTATCGCTCCCAATAAAACTGCCAAAAAAAGACAAATATAACGTCAAATAAATATTCCAATTTCAGGAACAAGCAGCCATAGCAGTATTAATCTAAATTTTTCTCCAAATTAATACTTTGTGTACAAAGCACTTCCTGGCTCTCATGTGACTGGGTTCACATTACCCGTTTGCAAAGGACTCTTATTGTAACAAGTCAACAATTGGCACAGTGGCAGCATCAGTCAAAATGTGATACTAGTCTCTGGCACAGAGCATGGCCTACAACAGCCAAATCAATGGGAAATGTGTTAAATGTGTTAAATTATCCTATATATATTTAATACATTTAATTTTATAATTTATTTTTTATAATATTACATTATAAAAGATATAAAATAAAATGTTATTAGGGCTGTTATTTGATTGAATTTTTAATGAAATTGAATTACACGGT